CACTGTGTGAGAAATACTTTCCATTGTCAAAAAGCAGTGCGCTGAACAATCGTTGCCTTTCATAGGTATAAATGACATTCAGCATTTTCTGGACTCCAGCTTCTAATTGCTGGGAGGGACCTCACTACTGACTTAGAACAATAAATTGTATAAATTGAAATGGCAGCACCATCCCTGATGGTTTAGTCTATTATAGAAAAGGAAATGTAGATGAAAGGGTTCAACAATTCTTTTGAATATGAGAATTGCCATATAAGATGAAGCAAATGATGAATCTGTTATGTTTTCTGTGAGCATTCAGATAAGAACTTCAAGGAATGGCTTAAAAATTTCAGATTCTGGATAGCTTTGGCATAATTTCTCCTTTGAGAGAATGTTACGTTTTACCTTCCATGTGAAGTTTGAAAGGTCGTACTGTAAGACTAGTATTAGATCAAAAACTGAGCAATAGTCAGTCAGGCTGAAAAAAATTCAGACGTGTTTGTACAAGGACTTCTTGTGCAGCTTCTGCTGAAGACAATGGGAGATCTACAAATGAAAGATGTGTAGGGTGGACCCTCTTTTTTTTTTCTTGTCTTTTTTTCCTTTTTTTTTTTTTCCTGCTATCTTAAGAACACCAAAAACCTGATACTGCTGTCGCTTCTCATTTTAAACAAAATCAGATTGACCATCATTATGCTGTTGCTGACATAAACCTTGTTTCTCGTATGACTAAACTCCCAATAGGCAAACACCATCTGTCTGTTGAAGGAAAAGAAAAGTCACCACAGAGACGAGGTCTAACTCATTAGGAGTTGAGAAACATTGAGTCTGCTACAAAAGCTACACAGCAATATCCTTAGAAATCTCTAAACTCCACATTCAGTGCATTTGTTCGCTGAAGTTCTTCCTTCGATATTGAAGAAATTTTCCCCTGTTAAGCTGAAGAGTTTTCAAACAGCTTTCCTCCAGGGCCAAATTCAGATCAGGTGCCACTGAGTCAAATTTTACTGACTTCCTTGAAACAGTATAAGGTCTTGGAAAATTATCTTACAGCTATGAACACGGAGATTCGGATTGATAGAGCAGCATAAATAATAGTGCTCAGTTTACCCTTGCAGGAAAAATAAGTATTGTTTACTGCTGTAAAATGTTTATTAGGTGAAATTTCTCCACAGTATTGATAGGAACTTAGAAAAAGCTGTGACTTTTTTTCAGGCATTTAAATTTCAGCAAGTTCTAAAAGACACATTTTTGCTTTGGATTTTATTCATGTAAATACAAACATACACTTTTAAAAAAAGTTGTTTTATCTGAAATAATAGTTGTGTACTCTCTGGTTTACTAAAGTACTGTAATTTTGGAAGTTAACTCTTTTTTTCATCCTGCTGTGGAATGATACTAGAATTTTATAAACTAGATAAAACCAAATTAAGAGCAACGAAAGGAGCTAAGTTGACTGCTTTAAAGTATATGTAAGAGTGTGTTTCTTGTGCAGAATACAGCTGCTTTCTAGCAGGACTGCACAGTCATTTCGGTAGTTACGAAAGGTGGATATTTCCAGTGGACTGGTGTCAGATCTGTAGGTGTGGAAAGTCATTGCGTGGGGAGAGGTGAGTAGCAGCAGGACTCCTACAGAGGAGTTGTCCAGCACCAGTTGTGGTACTTTCAGTTTTCTTCAGCATCTCCCAAGTGAGAAGCGCCACACGGAGCTGCCTTGGATACCTTCTGTGAGATCCTCGGTATAACTGGAGTGTGTGATTGAGTCTCACTGGAGAAGCAGAACCTTTCTTGAAGCACTGACTGTGCAACATCTGTAAAGCAATTTCTACTTGACAACACTGATCATCATCTGAAGAGGCTGTGGGTGTGCAGCTTAGCCACTCTTAACCGTGTACTCGGACTGATTTACAGTCTTTGTAGTTTGATATTTTGCTAGCGTTTTATGGCAGTATGGGGCCATGAAAGAACAATCTCCATTAGCAAAGCATGTGGTGGTGTTACAGGTGGCTATCTCTGATTCATGATGCTGGAGCAAATGAATGCTTTAGTACGACCCCATTGTTAGTTGTCAGTGTGAGCATACATTCATCTTGATGTTTCTGAGGCAGTATTTCCAACAGAAGCTGAGATGTCTGTATCTGACCATTAAAACTGAGAGCAAAATTGCAAAGGACTACATGGGAGTAGAAAATCAAAGCAGACAGTGATGTGTGCAGTTAGGAAACACTTTCCAGAGATGTCCATGGCAACTAAAAGTCGTAGCTTTATGGGATAACAAAAATCTCGATAGAAATACCTGCTTTATGGCAAACAGTAATTCCTCTCCTCACCTAACCTTTTCATGTTCCATGGGCTATAAATTACTGATCTCATTCTTTCCATTAGAAAATAAGCACCTTATCACCTTTCCTCATGTCTAACATCTTTATCACTCCACAGGCAGTAAGCGTCTTTACTCTCAGGTGGTCTAATTGATACTTATCTCATTAAAGGCAAAGCATTTTTTCTTAACTTGCATTTGGCTTTGAAGTATGTTGCTTTGATTTCAGACCTGAAGAACAGCTTCATGTGCCTTGAAAGTTCTTTTTCCAGCTGTACTAGTTGATCAAATAAAATATGCTGCCTCTGTCCACAAACTTTGCCTTGCCTGTGTACCAATGCATTCCTTTTTTGTTAGTGAAAAAAGAGAAGACAATTTTTCACCAAACTAATTAAAAGGTATATGTGAGGACTGCAGCTGTTCAGAACCTTGAAGATTAGGACAAAATGTTCAAATATGATGAGACAGAAAAGAAAAGGATTTGGTAGAGAGTAAGTAGATAACTGGATTAGCAAGAAAAATAATCTTACAATTTATCTCTTAAATGGGGGGATTTTGTGTGAAAGAGGTACCAGAGATGAAAAAGCTGAATATATAGGCAGGAGGTAGTGCCAGCATCAAATTGTTTAAATAGCATTATTCTACCATTTTATTGAATGTCTCTGGAACATTTCTAGGTAATGAGAGAGTAGATTCTCCAAAGTTATATAGGATATAAGAGAAAAAATGATCAGTCTAATTAAACAAACAAATAAACCCCACAACACTAAAAAAAGCATCAATTCTCTCTAATTTTGAGTAGAAAGGAGAGGAAGAAACATTATATACTTAACACTGAAATTTCCAGGCTGTTGTAATTGGCATAGCCAGCACTTATGTAGAGATCTACTAATTTTTTTCAAATGCTGCAAGTGTCACACAATTAATTGACCTCGCCCATATGACATTTGCTAGTTTTATGACAACTATCTATTTATTTCCCCCCCCCCTAGTTCTGTTTACTAGTTCCAACAAGTTTTAAGAGTGGGTTATGTTCTTCACTGTGAGGAGATGTTTGAAGAGAAGTAATGGAAAAAAATCCACTGAAATTACCTAATTAGATTAGAGGAAAAGCAAATAGATCTCAGGTGCCTCATCCTTCCCCTAGAGCACCCTTTTGCCCTTAAAGAACCTTTTTATAAACTTCAGGCATTTTTAGTACTTTGGAATTATCAGCTGAAAGGTGCTTTTTTGAAACAAATCATTTGCTTCACTGTTGTAGTGTGTGGCTGGCAAGGAAGGGGAGGTGTCCGTTCAGTGTTAGGAGGAGGGAAATCCCTGTCCCTTAAGCGAACGATCCAGCAAGATGCAAGTTCTAAATTTCTTACCTTCTTGTGGCATGCCTGCTGCAGGGGAATGACATGGGGTTATATGGAATTTAAGAACTTCTGTAGGGAGCCCTCCATGATCCTATTCCTTATCATTTTGTTTAGTAAGACTGTCTTGTTGGCAGCTGTTAATAAGGTCTGTGATGGTTTGGGGTTTTTTCCCCAGCTAATTGCTCTTTTGATTTGGGCTTTTTGGGCTTTTTAAAGTATGTGATAGGGTTCCTGTTTATAATATGTAATAACCACAGGAATCTCAGAGATTTTTGAGGTCAGACTGTCACTATTGTTTTGTTTGCTTATGCTGAGCTAGTACTTGGCAGCTTGTGTAGCAGCTCAGCCATTCTCTAACTTAACAGGTTGTTCTTCATATGTGAAGTGATTGATGTGATTGACGTGATTAGCATGTATATGCCTAAATAAATTACTCTGGGGGAGAGGGATCCAAATGGAGAAAACTGGATAGGTCCAAAGACAGTTTGTTGTAAGAACTGTGGTACATTCAAGAATGAGCAAAGGGCTTATGTGCGAATAAAATCTCAGATCAGAAAATGTATGGGAAAGTACAGTTTTACTCTGAAGTCATTGCTAACAAGAGTTCAAGGATGTATGTTTTGTTGTATTTCTCTGGAGGCAAAAGCCCCGGTGTAGATGCAGACATACTAAGAAAAACATCAGTTGCCGTACGACAGTTTATTTCTCTGTGATAGTAACGTTGGGTTGACCCGCCTGGGTTTTGGCTTCCTAAGTAACTCGGGAGCCTATAGAAAAAGGATTATTGAAGTGCTTAAAGTAATTTTAATAATATTGCCAAATCACTCATCTCAAACTTCTTTTTCGAAGGACTTAGAGTCTACGTGGGTTTTTGCTTAAAAGCTGGTGCTCCTATTTCTGTGAATCAGCAACAGATATCCTGAGTCCTTTTGCAGGGCTTCAGTGTTTAGCATCATGTTGGCATGACAGGAGACTTCTGCGTCCCACAGAACTTGGAGTTTACCTGCTGATTAAAATCCCCTTGCATGTCAGCACGTGGAAGCCATGGATTGATTGTTTATTTATTCTTAACTTATATTCTTACAAATGCAGTCTAAAAATAAAGGACTGGCCCAGTTCTCTACGGGTTTGTTATTTTTTCCACATTGGCACCCTGGACTTAATAAGATAATGGGAGAACCCTGACTCATAGGTCTAAATGAAGTTGCAAGATACTGTTTGTCGCCCTTGAACTACTTTTTATTTGCACATACCACTGTATCATTGTATGATGTTGGCTTTTGAATACATGTGTGTTACATAAAGCTAATACATTACTCTTGGTTTTGCTTTGCAGTACAGAATTGGACAGCTGTACATGATAAGCAAGCATAGCCATGAGCAGAGTGACCGAGGCGAAGGTGTGGAAGTGGTACAGAATGAACCCTATGAAGATCCAAACCATGGCAATGGTCAGCTAACAGAGAAACGGGTCTATCTCAACAGGCAAGTGCAATAAAACTGTTTCTCTCAGCATGGGCTGCATTAAAAATTTGCAAGGAATACCCCTTCCAGGCAATAGCCTTTCTGTTTCAAGCAGAGCACATTCCCATAAATACATGTCACTTCCTGGTAGCTGCAGGAAGAAGGAAGGTGGGATAGATAGATCAGTGGCTGGAAATAGAGGGATTAGTTGTAGTTTCTTCTAGAGTATCTTTCCCAAGAGGAAGAATTGTAACTTGAAGTTAAGGATGTGCTGAACTTTGTTTTCTTTTACACTTAATTGTTTGTTGTTTTGTTTTCCAAAATTGGGGAGGGGGGGAGCTAAAAACAACAAACACCCCACCCCCCAAAAAAAACCAAACCGTTAAAATGGTTTAAGGGTTTCTCACCTTGTAATAACGTCACAAAGCCAGTATCCCATTTTTGGTGACAAGAGATTTGCCTCAGCAAAGTTACTCGACGTTATGGATGACCATTAGGCTTGTGCAATGATGACCTTCTGTACCAAAATAATAGGCTTAAAGACATGATGGAAAAAATTGCTTTTGTTTCTCTGAAGTTCCATCATTTCTTAAAGTGAAATATGTGTCTCTTCCTGTGGTGAAATTATACTGATGAGGATCAAAGTCTCCACACTCGCAGGCCAGAGATGTTTTTATACATATATATATGTATTTGTGTTTTATGAAATATACTGCTCACTCTATTTCCATTTTTACTACTGCTGATCTAATTGAGTATCAGTGCTTTTCTGAAGTTCTTCTATTCCCCTGGGCCTGTTTCGTTTTATTGAACTTCTGCTCTACAGCATTTCATAGGGGGCATAGAAACACTATAGCTATTGCTTCTACACTGCAAATTACTCCTCCACTGCAAACCTGACATATCTAACCTTAACTCAGGCTGAACTGATTCACCAGTGGTGTTGTGCGCGCACACACACACACAGGTCCAGTAATGTACATCTTGCCAACATTTAATATTATTGTGATTGTAACTCTGTTCTCTCACAGGCTAGATACAGGACTTGGGAAGAATCAATAACTGTGTTCCTGTTGCAGAGCTCCCAGAAGGTGTGGGGGTTTTAGTGTTTCTAGATTTTTCTTTCCTTCATGTTAAAAAGAGATAAGGCTTTAAGTGTTAGAGAGTATATTCAGAATTACCACTTCAGGGTAGTTCAGAATAACTGCAAGGACTTACAGCGGCCTCCCTGGACTTAAAGGGGGCCTGCAGGAAAGATGGGGAGGGACTCTTGATCAGGGAGTGCAGTGATAGGATGAGGGGTAACAGTTTCAAACTGAAAGAGGGGAGATTTAGATTAGATATTGGGAAAAAACTCTTCACTGTGAGGGTGGTGAGACACTGGAACAGGTTTCCCAGAGCAGCTGTGGCTGCCCCCTTCCTGGCAGTGCTCAAGGCCAGGCTGGATGGGGCTTGGAGCAACCTGGTCTAGTGGGAGGTGTCCGTGCCCATGGCGGGGGGTGGAAGTGGATGATCTTTAAGGTCCTTCCAACCCAAACCATTCTGTGATTCTATGACTGTGTCCTAGAAGGCGTGTGTAAGACATACTTGGGGAGCATGTAGTTTCTGGTAGCGCAGGCAATGGAACAAAGGATCTGTTGCCCAGAGACAGGTACAGACATTGGCAAAGAAGAACTGTGTGCCTACAACAACTTGGGAAGTTTACCTAAAGCTGTGGTGGATGTTTGAAGTCAGGCTCGCCAAGTTTAATGACAATTATGAATAAGTGATAATCATCCCCAGATTTGCTATTTGAATCTGGTTTTGGTGTCCCAATACCACCAGGTGTTGCAGTACTGTTAAAGCTTTGTGGAAAGGATCAGCAGGTTTTCAGGCAACTGTGGATTTTGCTGAGAGGCCAGGATCTCTCTGGAAGACTTCGCTCAAGGAGACATGCTGCCATACAAGATGTGCTGAAAATCTTCTCCTCTGCCTGCCTTCCTTGGGGAACAGGACTTCTTACAGGAGCACAGTTCTCTCCCTCATCTCTTCTTCTCCCAGGGTCCACTGCCCTAATAAACTTTGTAGCTTTGCTTCACTTTCTTTTGCTCTGGACTGCTCTCTCCTGAAGAAATTTGAGCTTACATATTTCAGCGATGGTTTCTTGGAAGGATTTGTGCATTAGTTTCATTTGTCTTTTCTTGCCTGCTAGTACTTTTATTCTTGCAGAGGGTCTTATTGCTTACCAATGGTTTCAGCTGGACTGCCTTTAGGAAACACTTCCTCCCTGTGTGCTGAAAGACTGAGCTTCAGCCAGCGAAGGAAGAAATTTTAAAAAATAAATAAATAAAATAAAAAAGAACGTGATCCACAGATACTTGTGCTGCTAAAATAGAAAATTGTATTTTCTTTCTCTGAGTGGACCCCCTGAACAATTCATCTGTGTCTCTGACTGTTACTTCCTGGCAGCTCTGAGTGTAATGTGCATTCTGCTCATAAAATTATTTGTTTTGGAGATCTGCCATACCAGCAAAGATAGGTAGACAGGCAAATATGCTAAAAAACAACAGTAACAAAAAAAAAAGTGCAAAATGAGCAGCTATATTTTAACAAAGACATTACTAGTAAAATTTTCTCGTGTCAGCGTAAGCCTTAGTTATATTTAGAATTGTTTGCTGCCTCTTCTCTCTTGCTGGAGCATTGTTTTCAGAAGCTGAAGGTCTGCATCCTCTGGTATTTATTATTTAGGCATCAGGGTAAAGTTTAGCAGGGGTAAGGGAGGGAGCAGAGAGGTAGTCATAAAAAGACACTGACAGAGGGTGACAAAAGAAACAAAAGATCTTACACAGTGAAGTCTGTTATGCAGTATGTAAAATGCTGCTTAAAAGACTGTGCGCAAGAAAGGTTTATGTAAAGAAAAGAATCTGGTTTTGAGCAATGTCATCAAAGAGCAAAAGTCAATGCACTTGACTTTGAATCTTTAGATAACATATGCATGTCTCCATTTTGCTTCTGGACAAATCCAATATTTACATGTAGCCAGATCGTCCTTAAATAAGCCTTGATGATACAAACTCTGTGTTTTCCTCAGAAATTTGGTAATATGGAAAGTTAATTTACTTTCTGCACACAGTTATTTAAACATAACTGTTTCAAACGTTTACACTTGGAAAATTGAAGTTTGAAAGTGTCTGAGTCACTTCACTGAAGATCAGTCTTAGGCTGGGTGATCTGCTCGACACATCGCCGGACTAACGCAATTTTAACAGAGTCCCTGAAGTACAGTGCTATTTATGGTCTCCAAAGGTCTGCTTTCCTGTGAGCGGCTCGTACTGCGTCTTTGTTCCTGGCAGCTTCAGTGACTATAACTGGTGTCATTAAGAAAGGGTTGAAAGATGAATTACCATGAACCTGCCTTTTTAAAATGTATGTTTGTTCATCACTTCTTTGGTGCCCTATGTGACCAGGGTTCTGGAAATGATCCATGGTAAAGAAAATGCTCCCACTCTTCCATAGCATTATTTAATTACCCTTTAATGATCTTCCCTTGTGCTGTATCCATGGCTTTCATTTCTTGTTCTGCTGCTGTTGTACCACCACGCTGGTAAGTTCTCTTGACAGATTGAGCTCTGAGTTATGACATCAGTTCCATTAATTCTCTTCACTTTTGTGATTTACTTTTTCCCCATCAGCAAAGTGGGGCTGATACTACCTACCAGCCTCACAGAGGTGTTTTGAGTGATTTGTTAATTTTAATACAAAAGCTTCCTACTCAGGAGTTGGTGTTGGTAGTGTGGGAAGAACTGCATGCTAGGTGAGTTGAACGTAAGGGTTTGAGTGCCAGCAGAGGATGTGGAGGAAGAAGAAATAGTCTTTAAGAAAAAATGATGGAATCGGGACTGAAACGAACTGCAATCACATATTTACTCGTGACCTCTTGTTAGAGAGTGCCTCCCTGTGGTTAAGGATACTGGGAGACACCTTGGATGGTCTAACCTGCTGAGTTCATCCATGACCAAAGGTTTGAGGCCATAGATTCTTGAAATCTGCAACCTCAGTGTAAATCTGATCAGAGGTTTTTGCACTGGCACCATATTGCTGACTTCGAGAGGGGAACGGTCAGACTTGGGTTTGTACATACTTGTGGAGAAAGCTGAGACAGAATGCAGAGTCATGAGATGAAAATAGTGCTGTGAAATCTAGGTATTGGTGTGTCCTGTGAGACACCTGTCCAATTATGAGCATGTTTGGATGTACCATCGTCTCTACAATACTCAGAAGTCATAAGATATTCTAATTTTATATTTTCTTTTTATTTCCAGCAAACTGCCTAGCTGGGCTAGAGCAGTTGTTCCCAAAATATTTTATGTTACAGAGAAGGCTTGGAATTATTATCCTTATACAATCACAGGTAAGGAATAAAGCAGAGATGATTACTGACTTGTACTTTTTGGATAGTTTAGCTTATCTTCAGAAGCTCCAAGTTATGTATCGAGCCAAGTTTCTTTAACAACTCCTGTTGAACTGCATATATTTTTCCATCTTCTATTGACTGATATCCGCAAATAAAGATTATAGAGTATGAATAGGTAAAAGCTAGAGTGTTGTGTCTATGCAACTTCTTCCTTGCAATGAAAACATCAGGTGCTTAGATGCTGTGCTGACTTGTACCCTTTCTTGTTTTAGCCAAATATAAATCAGCAGATTATCTGACACAATCTTTTTTATTATTAATGTATGTTTACTGTAAGGACCTTGCATCATTGTTTTATTTCACATTTCTTTTTTTTTTTCTTTTCCCTCATCATTCTTTTTTTTACAAATGGACAATTGGAAATCAGAATACACAGTAAGTTTTTTCTTCCTCTTTTTATTCTAAAAATAGAATAAAGCTGTAAAATATAGTAGTGGAATCGAAACTGATTCCTTCTTAATATAACCATTACATAATGCATTCAGTAGTGGAACTTTATTTTAGCTATTTGTTTAAGAAATTTAAGGTTAAATTTGAAGTGTTTCTGTGGGGATGCTGTAAATTATTTACCTTTTTTTATCACTTCAAAATATTTTCATATATTTTTAGTCACTGACTGTAAGAAAAGCTTCTGTAAAACAGGGCAAAGCTTTTAAGGTTCCAGTTATTACGTGGAGACATGAGAACTGATTTTATTTTATTTATTGTTTTATTAACTTATAAAATGCTCATCTCTGGTATAGTATCTGGGAAACTGTACAATCTGTAGACAAAATTAAACATATTCTGGGCACAGTGCCCAGCAAAATCAACTATTCCCTCTAGCAGAGCTAAGGCAAAATATAGCATATAAATCATGAGAAAAATTGTTTTAAATGTGCTGGCCTTGATAAGATACAGTGAGTTTTCAGCAACCCTTGGAAGATGAGGAGGAGATGGTGAGGAAGTTCCAGGTGAAAGGGGCCTTTCAGAAACTCCTGCCTTGATTTAGTTTGCACTTCTGACTGCAAATCAAACGTAACCCACTTGTTTTTCTTAACTCTGCAGTGCGCAAAATGTTTGTGCGGATTTTTTTTAAAACCAGTAAAGCATACAGAAAGGCAAAAGATTTTAATGTGATAGATGTGGAAGAGGAAAAAGTAAAGGGATTTAAAGGCTTAAATGTGAAAGCTGGAGACTTAGAGTTGAAACTGTGATGACCAGGTTTGAAAATCCAAAGTACCAAACTGTGTTTTTCCTGTAGATACTTACTACATACTCGGCTTTGTTTCGTGTTTAAAATTCATTTGATTGTCAGAGGAAGCCCATAGTGGACAGTAGTAACGAGGGGACAGATTCTCAGCTATTTTTTTTCAGAAGATTTCTTCGGTAGAGCCTATCACAGTTTACATTAATTAAGGGTTTACTCTTTGATAGCAGGTTTAATCTTAGGCTGGGAAGATGACGTGCTATGTCGCGTTGATGTCTGTTACTTACGCTCTGTTGTATGGTTTTTCTTTAACCGAGAGTCAATTTGAATTTTTTAGTGTGATTTTTCTTCTTTAATTGAAAGAGACAAGCATGAATGATTAAAGGGGTGGTAGCAGACAGAAATACATGTCTGAGTTTGAACTGCAATACATTATCAAAACTAAACAGCAATGCTGTACTCACAGAATTTGAATCGGGAGGTGATCTTTATCTAATCTGATGAGACGACACCTGGAACACATTTTGGTGAAGGTCTGTAGAAGTTATGCAGCTACAGAGATGTTCAAGTGCATCAGCAAAAATGATTGCAGGGTTAAAGAGTCTTGTAAAGAAAAATTAAATTTGATCTACAAATGTAGAAGGTAGGCGAAGCAGTCACTAAGTGACAGTATAACTGCCTATGGGAGTTGGGGACTAATTACTCACCATGGTGCAAGGAAACAGAACTAGAAATATTGGGATGAGATTAAGGAAACTGTATTTCAGACAAAAATCTAAAATATATTTTAATGGAGCTGATAGACTATGAAATTAGGGAAATGGAGAAAATGCCTTTGCCTCAAACTGTTGAATCTAGAAGAAAAATTTAAATATACCACTGGGAGTAATTCCTGTCCTTGTCTGGAATATTTCTCTAAATTTTTTTTTTTTGCATTCATTAGAGTATTCTGAAAGAAAGAATAAACCCACAGATGTTGCCCAAAATATGTAAGATAGCTTGGAAACCCTTTTCTTAAAGATAGTAAATGTCCTCCAAAGGGTCTGTGGGACATCCTAAGAGTTAAATTGAGCCTTATTTCAAGGAAAACTGATTCTAAAGGCAGGCCAATAATTGGATAAATAAAGCATAATCTTATTGAGTCAAGTACATACTGCTATGTAGTATGTCCACACCTTACTTAACCTGGTAAGTTCCGCTCTAAATAAAGAGCAAGGACCTTAAAAGCTCAGTAGTGTTATTTCAGTGTATGTTAGTGATTTGGAAGAGGATGTGAACAACAGGCTGAATTTTGCTGATAGTCTTAAGGTTTTTCAGTTGTAAAATACGAAGGCTATTGAGAAATTGCATTCAAGCACATACCCTAGTATTCAGAGATTCAATGCAGAATAATTTCATCAAGCTGGTTTTCCTGTGAAATATTACAGATTTTGTAAATATGATCTTCTTAAGAACCTGAAATTAGGACATCTTCTAAGAAAAAAAGCTCAGCAAGCATTGAAAATAATTTCCAGAATATTGTTCTCTGCAGTGGAAGTATAGAAAGCCAAGAGTGATTGGCTGCATGAAAACAGGAATGGAAATGAAGAGTGCCATGATGTTAGCACTCTATAACCTGGCTCCAGTTACGATGGTATCTCCTTTAAGGAACAGCATTTGTTACACAGCAAACCCCTAAATTTGACAGCAAACAGCAGGTCTACTAACCAAGTCTCAACAACCATATTAATAATACATAAAGCAAATTACACCCTCGAGATAATGAGCTTAACAGAACTATTGCACAAGTGATGCTTTTGTGGTGTGTCATATGTGAACTACTGTAACGTCAGGAGAGCATTTTAAACGCACACTGTGCTGTGTGTGGAGGAGGGCCTCATTAAAACAACAATACAAAAGACTTCCTATCAGGAAGATGAGACATGGGTGATGTCCCAAGAAATGCCGTATCAAAGCCTGAACTACTCCTTGCAGGCTTCCTGCTGACATTGTGAGGGAGGTGGAAGTAGGAAAAATACTTTGGAAGCTGAAGCCAAAGGAAGCCATCCAGATTTGGGGGTGCTATTTTGAGAATTAGATACTCCTACAAAGTTCAAACCTTTGTTGTAGTGGCTGGGGCATTACTTAAAAACTGTATGTGAGAGAGTCTCTTAAACTTAGAACAGAGTTGCTTTGGTTTTGATCTTGTAATTAGAAACCCGACAAGATACCTTGCTAAAATAAATGCTTAACTTTTATTTATAAGTTCATTTAATATTGTGATTAGGTTGATGTTAAGCTCATAAATTTGGGGTACTGTATTTGGGATACAGCTGAAGGAAGCCCTATAGAAGTAACTCCCAGGGATTCTGCTCTTCGAGTGATTACAGGACTTGGGTACTGGCGAGTGCCTCTTTGTCAAGCTACACGTGCCTTTTTCACTTGGAGGGTGGAGGAAAGATGCCTTGCAGCTCTCCACAAACGCTTACATGCCGGCTGATCACAGCATTTGCAAATACGTATCTTCAGTGTAAAATATTTATGCTGTTCTTAGATATGTGGACAAGAATGACTGAACTTTGAGGAGGCTTTCTGACTTTTCTCTCTGAGGTTGTCCAGCTAGATTAGAAATAATTAACTAGAAAGCCAACCTGTCTGTATTGCAAACCAAACGAAAAAAGGATTGCACAGAACTAAGTTTCTTTACCTGCACGGGGATATTGTTAGGCAATAAGCAGCACAGAGCAAATATCCATTTGACCTGTTCAAGGGATGGTTGAGATTCTGGACAAAAAGAGCCTCACCAAACAAATAATCAGATCACAAACGTGTGGTGACTAAACCATGGTACAAAAAATTCATGTGATTGAAGTACCCTGAAAGTGAGCCTAACAAATTTTAGCTATCAGGTTGGAGTACAAAGAGGTTAGGAAAAATACAAACAGAATTTAAACAAACTCTTCTGAGTTTGAAGGTGCAGTTCAGGTGTTTACTAGGGATGATTTCAAATAGTTTTGCTGTCTGATCTGAACAGCTTCAGTGTTGTTAGTAGTATTTCAGTTCTGGGGCTGAAATTTAAAACCAGCTGGATAATTTGTTTTAACGCCTAAATTATGGCCAATTGTTAGTTTCACAATTATATCAAGCAAAATAAACACTAAAACTGGTATGGTTCACTCTCTGCAAGGAGGAAGAGCATTCTTTCAACCTGCCAGTGTCTCAAATTACCTTAGAAATAGGATGTAAATTCAGAATATTTATGAAAAACGGTTATGGAACAGAAAGCAGGAGACAACGATTCCTTTGATGATGTATCACAATGACACTAATTCTTCTACAGCAAATGACTGAGGCAAATAAAATTATTTCATCTGGTATGTGTCAAGGCCCCAGAGCGATAGTTGCTAAATGTTCCATTATTGACCTGCTGGTTTCTGGTTACTTTTGAGAACAGGCATGTTTTGTGCCTCACTTAGTCAGCTGCCAGTTTATCCATGAAGCAAATTATCTGGAAGGAATGTTTTTGTAATTGTTATTTTTATAATGAGGTGATTTGAGAAGGAAAAAAAGTTGTTTCAGATCAGCATTGCAAGGAATCTGTAGAGTTTTTTCCCTCTGTTCTCTTCAACTGATTACCAGTGCTTGAAATTTGGATGTAACCCATCAGTCTTCAGTGTACAAATTATTCTCCAGCTTGAGCAGATCAAGAGTCTGCATGAAAAATGCAACAGAATCTGCATTGCAAGATTGGAGCCTAATACAAGATTGCTACCAAAATTCCTTCCCTCTCACTCCCCAGCTTAGAAGACAGGCTGACGGTGACATTGCTGCAGTAAAACTCACACTTGGTTCCTTTCGAGATTCCAGCAGAAGGAAGGACCTCTGTAGTATTTGTCAGAGACAAATAATATTATTTTAGAAAGCTGCAAACCTCCATTCTCATTTAACAGCTTAATCCCATCGAAACAGAGTAAATTGAACTGCTTGGGAGAATTCCCTTTTTCCACCACTGGCTTATTATAAAGCAATCCAAACCCCTCTCTGATTCATGGGACTGTCGTTTTCACTTGAGCACGCTGCTTCTCGCTTCTGTTCTTTCTCAGTGAGGAGGTTACTGTTCCCAGGTGTCAAAGGAGATCCTAAGGGAAGGCAAAGCCAGGGATAAGTGCTGAGTTTCGTAGTGGTTGGAGGCAACTTGCTAGTCGAA